AGTAGCTTCCCCTAGGCATAGCTGAACATATCCCTTAAATTTATGACATTCAAAATTTGGTTTTTGTGTTTGTTCCACATGATGATTTTATTGTTAATTTAAAAAATAACATATTTATAATTAATAGCATACAAGGTAATCTCAAAAATACTATATTTGATATCATGCTTGCCCAGAGGGTAGATGATCTAAATGACTGTCTTCAACACCCTTAGCAGTTCTGAATATTATCTCTATATTTCCTTCTCACTTCATTTTTCATAATAAACCTTCAGTTGCTTAATGAGATAACAGAAAAATGATGCTAACCATATCTGGATTTGGGAAGTAGATACAAATTTTCCCAGGGGTTACCTAACTTCACATCATCACAGCTTGTCTCTACTATTGTCACTTTTCAGCTAACATATTTGTGTCACATTAGTTCAAATTGGTCCTTGGAGCCTCCTATGAACATTTCTTCAATCTTTCCCAGGGACAATTGCTTTTCCTCATTTAAATATACAGCAGATGTTTTGACATCTTGATATATTTCCTTTCCATCCCATGGCCAGCTCAGCTCAACTGTGAGTGCAAGAATATGGCTTTGGTGAACTGAACTCCCAAACAACTTAATTAAATGAGTCATTACAAATAAGAACAACAAAAAAGACATACTTTTTTTAAGCAGCCCATTTTCCCTCTAGGTATTAAATAGTCAGTTAATATTTAATTCCTACTGAGTCTAAAGCATTGTACTAGCAATTGTGGTTGGAATACAGAGGAATTAAAATACATAATCCTTACCATCAATAGGTTAGCAATCTAGCTGGAGAGAAAATATACCCTTACATGACACAGATAATGTAATAATAAAAAAAATACATTTCAATGCTTGATTACAACAATCTAGAGAAATGCTCTACCAATGTAGATCACAGCCCCTCTGCACTTTAATAGACAGCTTCATGAGCTGCTATGATTAAAAATGGGGCAGGTAGGTGGCACAGTGGACAGCGTGCCAGGCTTGGAGTCAGGAAGACTCATCTTCCTGAGTTCAAAACTGGCCTCAGACATTTGAGCTGTGTGACCCTGGGCAAGTCCCTTAACCCTGTTTGCCTCCATTTCCTCATCTGTAAATCATCTGGAGAAGGAAATGGCAAACCACTCCAGCATCTCTGCCAAGAAAACCTCATAGGGCCCGAAAGAGTCAGATATGACTGAAAAATGATTGAACAACAACATGACTAAATATACCTATTGCCTCCCACCCAAACTTATGATGTTGGGCCTATCTGAATTTAGTTAGGCTGGTCCTTGGACAATTAGACAAATTGTCGAAAAACCATCTTTGTGTTTTTTCCAGCTTAAAAGGAGCAAGAGGTTGACCTCACAACCTTCATAAACCCATCACAGTGAGGGAATAGAGACAATATAACCACAGGTGAAGCAACTGAAAAGCACTTTACAGAGGAACATACACACAACATTTATATGTTAGCATAATAAAAACTGACCACCTAAGAGCTGAGAAGGTGTACTATATATGTATAAACAATCAGGGGAAATCAATCATGGATGGCTTATGAGAGGAAGTAAGTTTTGAAAAAGGTTGGAAAGAGTCAAGGAATAAGAACTGAAGAAGGAAAAGCAATTACAGATATAGGAAATAGTATATACAAAACCCTGAAAATTACTTACTGCTTGCTTAGAAAAAATTGTGTTTCACCTTGATGACTGGGCATGTAACTATTTGTAGACTGGATAAAGTGCTCATTGGCTTTCAAATTCTCTTAAAATAAAATAATGTTGTTATAGAGGATAGTTCTTCATAAGCAACTATGTTATATGTATCTATACACATTACACAAACATTTGTGTATGTAGACCTGAGGACTCCTTAATAGCTAACTCAGGTTCTAGGTACTTTGTGTGTCAGAATCCTTTTTAAACTACAGTTCAGAAGCCCCCATCTATGTGTTTACTTTTACTAGTTAGCCGGAGGACACATAGTTCAAAACAAGGCATTTAATGAAATAGAAGCATCAATGAATGAATAAAGCATTCATTAAACACCAACTGTATGCAAAACACTGTGCTGAGCTCTGAAAATACAAAAAAAAAACCGGTCTCTGCTCTCAAGGAGCTCACATTCTAATAGGGGAGACAATATATACAGAAGGAAGAAGAAATAAAGAAAAGTATAAAATAACAACAAACTACTTCCCACATGAACTTGGGATTTATTATCCCACAAATACAACTATCCGTAGCAGAGTAGACATGCATAAGAATCACGCTTGGTAAATACGCACATAGAGAACACGAGTGACCAGGCTACCCACATGGAGGGGTACACACACAGGGAACATGTAGTCAAAGGGACAGACTACTCATACCTCTCATATTGTAGAGCTGCTCATGTCTTCTGGAGGGATTCTCAAATTACTCTCTACTAGGCCTGACCCCAACAGGCATCTCTCTTTACTATTTTCTGTTGGACAGACCTTCTCCACTACTCTTCAGCTATCCTCCTCCTACCCTGTCCACTATCTTGGTGGAAGGTTGGGCAGGGTAGAAGGGAGGGTTGATGGTCTGGTGTTTATTAAACCTTTTCCAGAAAGGACTTGGCTATAACTCTTTCAGCCAATAGTAATGAACCACTTCCCCTCAGTCAAGTTGCCATATAAAAGCTAGATGACCAGGCTAGGCTCACATCTGCTCTTGAATCCATTTGACCTCTACTGTCTCCTATGATTCATTCAGTTCAACTCTCATCTGTCTTATGGTCAGAAATCCATTTTAGTTCTATCTTTCCCTCCTCCCCACCCCCTGGCCCAGCTGAGGGAAATATGTATTTTCAGAGATCTATTTCTTCCAGGAAAAGTAGCTGAGTAAATCTGTTGTGAGAAAAGTGCTTTCAACATCCTCTCTACCCCCATCATACTCCCCTGCTCTATGCAAATCACCAGGGCTGAGCTAGTTGGAGAAGACTAAAAAGACATTCGTCCCACTTAACCCAGCAAAATTATAGCCTATTTTTTTCTTTTGGCCTTTGTACATTCTTCTCCTATTAAAATTGCAATCCTGGTAAATTACATGGGGTATATTTAAATCACTTCAAGATAAACCACTAGCATCATGTTAAACATCAGAAATTGACATATAATATAGCATTGGTAATTATCCTAACTGAATTATATAGTCACATTATGATATCATGCAGTAAACATAGGTACACGGAGCAAAAAGAATACACAATTAAAAACATGAATTATGACATACATTTAGAATAAAACATGTCTCGTATCATATGTAATTTTCCAATACACAAATGGATCCATGGTCTTACTGATGTGGTTATTCATTTCTCCAATGGTACAAATCACAAGCTATCCATGCCTACCTATACTCTGTAAATCTCATCCATAACATCTCCTAATTACCTCCAGCAGGGTCTACTCAATGAGATGGGGTCCTAGCTTGTTTTCCCTTCACATTGAAGAGACACCAGTGAAGCAGATGGACTATTCCTTACATAACAATCTCATCTTTTTCACTCACGCATTTATTTTGTGGCATCTTTTACTTCATAATAAAGTATGGCCCATCAATAGAGAGCCGGACTTAAGAGTCAGGAAGACTCTGGTTTAAGCCTCACTTCTGCCAAGTACTAAAAGCAAGTTACCTAACTCTCCCTGCCCCCAGGCACTTCTCTAAGATGCAGAGAAGGTGCCAGTCTGCATCAATAGAAGTTCCTCATCAATGAGGAACCTCGAGTTCCTCCTAAACCAGAAACATCTCAAGTCCAGATCTGAGCACTTCTTAACTCCACTTCTTCGTAATTTCCTGTCTGTAAGGCATTGCAACTGGTCACAACTACCTCGCACTTCTCCGTTGTTCTCTAGGTGATACTCACTTTTAATCCTTTGGAGATTGTAGTGTTCTGTTTCTTGCAACCATGCAATAACAACAGAAGAATATTAGTGAGAGAGGAAGAGTGAATTTTGTTGTAATTAGAATCATTTTTAACTTAGCAAAGGCAATCCAGCCTGCTCTTCTATTTGATTCTGTACCCAATCATTGCAGCATCTGTCCAAGATATACAAAAATATATAGATATTGATAAACAAGCTCTATTATTTTGTATTGTTCTAAGGATAGGGAGACTGGTATCTTTGTAGACACTAGGGAAGGTGAGGAGAAACTGAAGATTAGCAAGAGAGAAGGCATGAGAGGGGAGCAATCTACTGGAAAAGACAGGCTCAAGAATACATATAGAGGTGATTGTCCTAACAAGGAAAAGGACCCTTCATATTATTTACTAAATACCTCATATCGCTTCAAAATATCTATAGCATCACATAAGGTACTTTCAATGTCCTTATCCTTCAGGTCATAAGACATTCCTCTAACCAGAAGTCCTTCTTGTGGCCCTAAGTGGTTTTCTGCTGTTCTAGACATTTTAGCATCCATTTTGGAAGTTTTGTTTTCTTTTTTTTTAAAACACCATTCAATTACCACAACATTAAACAATATTTCCATGGCAGTTTGACATTTCTGTTCAGTCGTTTCAGTTGTGTTCGACTCTTCATAGCCCCATTTGGAGTTTTCTTGGCAAAGATACTGGAATGCTTTGCCATTTCCTTCTCCAGCTCATTTTACAGATGAGGAAACTAAGGCAAACAAGTTTAAGTGACTTGCCCAGGATCACACAGCTAGTAAGAGGCCAGATTTGAACTCAGGAAGAGGAGTCTTCCTGACTCCAGGTCTGGCGCTCTATCTACTGTACCATCTAGCTGCCCAGTAAAATATTTATTTTAAAACAACAGACCTCACCTGTTTGTTTGGAGGTTTTGTTGTTGTTGTTGTTTGGGGTTAAGTGACTTGCCCAGGGTCACACAGCTAGTAAGTGTCAAGTGTTTGGTCTAAGGCCACATTTGAACTCAGGTCCTCCTGACTTCAGGGCCCATGCTCTATCCACTGCGCCACTTAGCTGCCCCACTTGTTTTTTAAAAATTAAAAAACTTTGCTGTTTAATCACAGCCTTCTTTTGTTCTTTGCAAATCATAAAGGTTGTACTGACTAGAGAAGGCTGAAAAGGCTTGTAACATTGGTCCCTCTCTTCTCAGTACAAAATCACCACCTGCCTTCTCTCATTGTCTATCTCCCCATATGTGGATACAAGAAAAGGAACTCTGAAGAGAGCCCTCTTTCTACTACATTTATACCTCATCATTTACTGTATACATATCAAGAAACAGGCAGAAGATACCAGCAGAAACCAGAAGGTGACTAAGAGGTGATTTTTTGCTGAGAGGTAGTGTGACAAAGGTCACCAGCCTTTTCAGTCTTCTCCAATCAGCCTAGTTCTTATAGTTTGCATAGAAGAGAGGGACAGGTTTGGGGGCAAGGTGAAATTGGGGAGGGAAGAGGAAGATTAAAAAAAAAATCACTAGGGATACTTGCTCCAGCCAGGGGTTGTGATAAGAACTAAAAGGGATTTCTGACCATGTGAGAGGAGAGTTGAACCGAGTCAGAAGAGTCAGTACATGAAAGAAGAGTTCAAAGACCAGATGTAATCTTAGATAATACACAGGCAAATATCATGTATACTACACATATGTATATAAATGTCCATACATTTCAAGCATGCATTGTTTTTCATGTGTATACATGTATTGATGTATTTCATATATAGCTATGGTATTTAATATATGCTTTCATAAAAGATTAGTGTTTAAGAGATAAGGAAGAGGCAGCACGAAAGAAAAAGAGTGCTTTAGTATACATATTCAAATTCAACGTAGATCTCTCCCTGAGACTAAATTTTCATAAATATACCTGGATGTTGTTTTCCCTATAAGCATCGGTTATGAAATGGGAAATGTTGTTTCTCTGACTTCTGTAAAGGAAATCCCAATATGCACTCATAAGTTAGTTTGCAAGTTCAGGAAAGCTCATCTTCATTGTTTTCCCCAAAAGTATTTATAAAATATACCTAAAAGTCAGTATTTTTAATCTTCCCTGCCTAGTCATGACAATGGAGAAACCTAAACATTTAGGCACCTAGGTGGTGTAATGGATAGACCACTGGAACTGTAGTCAGGAAGATCTGAGTTAAAATCCAGCCTCAGATACCTCTTAACTGTGTGACCCTGGGCAAGCCACTTAATCTGTCTGCCTCAGTTTCCTCGGCAATAAAACAGGAGTAATAATTGCACCTTCTCGTAGAGTTGTTGTAAGGATCAAATGATAATATTTAGAAGGTGCTTAGCATAGTAACTTTGGCAGAGCAGGGGCTTAATAAATGCTTATTCCCTTCCCTTCCCCCCTAAAGGAACATGCCATATCTGGCTTTCATTTCTGTCAAATAAACATGTTTAAACAGATCATAAACAGATAAACAGCTCATATTTTGATAGTGCTTTAAAATTTATAAAGCACTTTCTTCACAACAGTCTGTGAGACAAGTTGCATAAGTATTGTCTCTCTCTCTCTCTCACACACACACACACACACACACACACAAACAGGTGAGCAAACTGAGGCAAAAGGTGAAATAGTTTGCTGGAGGTCAAAGCATCAAAGTCAAGGGTCAAATCCCATGCTCCTGATTTGAAATAGTGAGCTCATTCCCCTGCACCATTCTGACCATCAAGAAGCAAAGTCTTCAAAGGCTGAAAATAAAATAAAATAAAATTTAAAAGCCACCACAAGCACAAGTATTGATGTCTAGAAGGAAGAGGCAGTGTCATTAATGTCAGTCATAAAGTAAAGGCAGAGCTAAATAGCTTCTTTCCTTTGGGGACTTTAAATCATTACTTCTCAATTTCAAAGTTAAAGATGAGAAAATTGAATTTCTAGCTCTTTGTATTACAAACATCACAGATACACTTTCACTTTTGCCAAAAAGGGACTGAGAGGGTGCTTGCTAAGGTAAATGGTTTCCATGTGAGGAATATTATCTATTTTAAATGAGAGCATTTTGCTTTGAAGTTGAAGTGACATGGATGGTGGGCCCCATATTGACTTTGATGACATTCTGACTTGAAGCATAACAGAAAGAACCCACTAAAAGAAATAGGCATTGAAGCTACATTAAAGTGTTACGGTTTTGTCTCTGTACCTGTCAAGATAAAGGGCAGCTGTTGTGGAGCTAGATAGGAAATAGAAAAACCAGTAATGGTTAGAGATGGAGATTTTCCTTTCTTCTGCAATGCCAAAGCAGATGTTCAAATCAAATGAATTTTGAGTATTTATTTAATTATACTAAATTTTGCCACAAAGAATGGAAACTTAGTCCTCAAAATCTTAAATACATCTTTGAATTCATAGTAATTGAATGTGAGGCCTCGGGAATTTGGATGAAAACTGTCTTCTCACCTGGTTGAATACAGATTGTCTCTAATGCTCTAGCTGAGGCTAATTTTATCTGACGGAGGTGAAAGGGTGCTCTTAGGTTGGTTCACAAGGAGATTTTTCCAGCTGTGATTTGTGATGCACTCCCACCTATGCACTGACAGCATTATAAATATGTTTCTAAACTGAGTGCACATCATTTCTCTGAAGGAATCACCATGATCAGACCTATCAAATGTAGCTTCCCTATGTCTATTCCCACCCTAACATCCAATTTAATAAATACTTATTAAGGGCAGGGTCACTATTGAGGTGAGGAGGAGAAGGGGGAGCATAAAGGTAAATAAAATCTTTCTTGCCCTTAAGAAGTTTGTTATCTAAACAGAAAGATAAAACAGCTACACAAATAGCTGTCATACAAAGCAGAATATAATAAATGCATAGAAGTACAAAGCTTAGAGGAATCAGCAGAGGGTTCATGGAAGACATGATATCTGACCTGGGCCAGGCTTCCCAATATTGGCAGGATATAGGCCTCAAATCCCTCTTCCATTAAATGAAGAGGTAGAACTGAATGATCTCTAAGGTCCCTTCTTGCTCTAAAATCTATGATCTTATTAAGAAGAGACTCCAACGTAATTCTGCAATGGCCAGTGTTTAAGTTCCATATGTAATTATCCTTAGGATCCTAATAGATTGCCACGTCTGCGTTGGGAGCTTTTCTTTCTACTACTAGTAAAGACTTGTGCCTGAATTATTTAGAAGCAATCTCAGTTGTTTCAGCTATTGGCTCCACAATCACAAAATGCAAAACAAATTGGTCTCGAATATTCAAATGGATTTCTGATCTCATCAATTTGAAAGTTTCCTCTCAATATGCAAATTATTTTTTAAAAATGGTAATTCATCCTCCCACCCAATCTTGTGCAATTCTTTTCCATGTAGTCCCATAAAATCACCTTAGCTTTCTCTTGTTATCATGAAGATATCAGTGATGCACTCTGGCTGTCCAACTGTCTGTGTTGAGTTGTTTCCTACTCTTCATGCTCTCATTTTGGGATTTTGTTGGCAAAGACACTAGAGTGGTTTGCCATTTTCTTCTCTAGCTCATTTTACAGATGAGGAAACTGAGACAAGGTGAAGTGACCTGTCCAGGGTCACACAGCTAGTAAGTGTCTGGGGCCAGATTTGAACTTAGGAAGATGTTTTCCTAACTTCAGGCCCAGCACTCTGTCCACTGAACCACCTAGCTGCCCCTGACCTCATCTTAGAGCACAGTTATGTTTGCCCTGATAAAACATTTGAAATGAATTCCAAGTTTATGGTTCATGACATGGAATCAGCCTGAAATCTTTGCTTGGCAAACCTTTTCTGAACTCAGCATATAGCAAACCTTAATGAAATCAAAGTCTGAGAAGAAAGAGAAAGAAGACTTATCCACATAGAATATTTAGAAGCCTATTCAGTGTTAAGATGATCATTAGTACTAGAAGAGGTTAGAGTGTTGTTGTTTGATCATATCTGACTTTATGTCCCCAGCTGGGGGTTTTCTTGGCAGAGATACAGAAGTGGTTTGCCATTTCCTTCTCCAGCTCATTTTATGGATGAGGAAACTGAGGCAAACAGGGTGAAGTGACTTGCCCAGGGTCATACAACTAGTAAATGTCTGAGGGCAGATTTGAACTCAGGGAGAGGAGTCTTCCTGAATTCTCCAGAACTTTGGATAGAGTGCTTTCTGAGTACTGTATCCACTGCACTGCCTCTCTACCCGTCTTCCCCCTATACAAACATGCATATGTACACACACAAATATATATGTGTATATATATATATATATGTAATATACGTATGTGTATACATAAGTGTATGAGTATTTATAAATATACCACCACATACGTACATATTTGTGTACTTAGATGTATGTACATATACATGTCCACTGGTGTCTAGTTGGTCCTTATTATGTGGATGGTGAAGCCAGTCTCTTTTGAGTGACCATAGATCTCATCCAGGAGGCCCTGCAATGTTCTGGGTCTTGATGCTAAGAGCACAAAATCATCCCCAAACAGAGACCTCTGGAGGAGCTCACTGTCCATCCACAAAGGTTCCCTCCTCATCTCGGGCTTCTCCCAGCATCAAACACTTTTGGAGAGCATACTTCTCTCTGTCTTATGCCTTCTTAAATGTTTATGAACAGGGGTTTGTTGAATAGTGCTCTTTTTTAGCTAAATATTTCAAGGAACCTTGATTGATTTTGATGTTTGGATGAGAGACATCTTGCTGTAAAAGGGTCTGTAAGGGCTAGTATATTCTTCTACCTATTCAAATATGGTTTTATTTTGTTTGCAATCAACAAATGATAAATACAATCGAATTCTCCACATCTCGTAGTTAATTTTGAAATGGTAAAGATGCAGTCTATTGTTGAGTACCATTTGTGAAAATCTGTTTATCTTCTAATAACATCCTCATCAAAGATGCCCTCAATTCATGACTACCATGAAGATTTTGTGTAGAAATGAGAGTTATTGGCATTCTTTCAGTCAACTTTTTTTTTACATTAACAAGGACCAAGATTTTTTTAGATCTTTAGTATCATCCCCTCCTTCAGAGGATTTGTATATACATCCTGCAATACCCTCTCTCTAACACAGATCCCTTGTCTATGTAATTGGTCCAGCCTTTGTTCTCTTTAGTGTCATTTCTTCCTCTTCTATAAGCACGTCCAGGTCTATGATGTTTAGCATCCAAGTTCCACTCTTCTTGATGGAGAAAATTATTTGTTATGACAATTTTTACAAATCCTTTCTCTTCTTTTTTTTTTACTTACTATTTTCATCCTTAAATGTCCTTGGGAAGACTTTGCTTTGTAGTTGTCTTGCCAAGTGTTCTTTAAATTAGTTTAAATTAGTTGTCTCCTCCACTGTTTCTCTTTGCTTTATGAGATAGTACTGCTCCTAATTATCTATCATCCTTCTTTGTAATGTTTTACAAACAAGTTTATATTCTAATCCAGTGTCATGTTTGGCAGCCATCCCCCTCCATTTGGCAAGTCAGATGTTTGCTGACTCAAGCACTTTCTGGGTTCTTTTGGGTCTCCTTGTCGCAATTAATTGATCTTGGCTAATCTTGATAAAATCATTGGAGTCAGCATTGATGTCATTTACGTTGTCCATTTCCCATTTTTGGTTGTCAATTGCTTGTTTAAATAGTTCAAGATTACGTTGTATACACCATAACACTTTTTCTTATTTTTCACAAATTCTGATCTTAGCTCTGACAAGTTGATGATATGACTAAATACAGATAGCTGACTCAGGCATAACTCCTACATCAATTACAAGTCTTTTCTGTTCTTTTTCCTAGTCTATCTTTTCCTTATGCTTTTAATTTGATATTTGCCATGTCCAGAACCTACTAATTTTTTCTCAAAAAAATCATGATCAAAAGGGATGATGCTTCTTTATGATCTGCATTTTTGTCTTCTTGCATTCCTTCTTACTGAACCATGATTTCCCATACAGTTCTCATTTTTCTCACTTTATCTCACTTTTACATTAAAGTTCCCAAGTATCAGGGTATATGTTGATTTAATTTGGAGGGTTTTATGAAGTTCTTTGTAGGATTTTTCTACCCCCTTATTCTTTTCAACTGATGCTGGTAAAAAAAAAAAAAAGCTGTAATTATTTTCATAATGTTTGTTTTGCAAATACTTATCATTAGCAGCAATGATCAAATGTCCCATGAAATAATGTTTCTTCTTGTCTTTCAGTATGTGATAAAACTTACTCTAACATATTTTTTCTTTGCCTCTCTTTGAAGAGTACCTGTGAATCATCCTTCTTTCTTTCTTCTGGTTTTACTTATAGACGGAATGTCAAGATTTATATAATTCAGCTTATATATATATATATACATATATATATTATATATATATATGTATATATATATATATACTCATTAATCATTTGACAACTTGATTGATTAACTGGAAATTATTCAGGTCCAAATCTTCTAATCACTCTCTCCAGTATGAAATTCTTCTTCTATGTTCCATGTCCATCAGTGATAGATTATTCCTAAGAATCTTGCTGCTAGATAGAGCTAAACACTCTATTCTTGATACTAGCTGCACTTGTAAGAATTAGCTTATAAGAGACAATCAGAGAAACTGAAAAGTAGCAATAAAAATACCAACCATAAGAGCATACATGGAGTTTCCTTCTTCTAGTGACTACTTTGCTGCTTTTAGAATAATGATGTCAAGTTTCTAGAGCACTTCAATGTTTACAAAGTGTTTTTCTTCATGGAAACCTTGTGTGGTTGTTAGTGTAAGGAATATCATAATCATTTTACATATGGGAAAACTGGAAAGTGACTTTAGCATAGTTACTTAGCTGGCAGGATCCAAACCTAAGTCTAATTATCTTTCCCCGGCTAGGTGGCACAGTGGATAAAGTGCATGGCCGGGAGATAGAAAGAATAGAGTTCAAATCTGGTCTCAGATACTTTCTATCTGGGTGACCCTGGGAAAGTCACTTAACCCTGTTTGCCTCCATTTCCTCATCTGTAAAATGAGGAGATGGCAAACCACTCTAGCATCTTTGCCAAGAAAATCATCACAAAGAGACGGACACAATTCAACAATAACAAAAAAAGGGCATTGTCTTTTTAAAACTGATTGCCTTTTCCTTTCTTAATCTTCTTGAGGGTTTTTCTGACAACTATCTTGTTTTGTTTTTCTTTTTTCATTATTCAGTGGGTTGGCTAGAATGTCTTCAATTTTTTTTTCTTTTTATTTGCCTGTAAGGAGAGGTCTATTTATTATTTTTAAGAACTCAGGTCTCTTTCTCTAATATAATTGCTGGACTAATCTTTCTGTCGATCAAGCTCTTTAGCTGAGCAGAAGTAATCATGAATGGCAGAGTTTCTAATTGAAGTTTCAGCATTTAAAGAGTGTGACTCCCCTTTCTATGGTGAGAGGGCAATCTCGCTGCAGAACACTTACTTCCCTTTTCAAATTCTAGTTCAGATCTGTGATCCATAGCTTACAAGAAGTTCATTAACCTTGATGAAGGAAAAACTCATTTAGATTACACTGGCAAAAATTAGGAAACACAATTACTGATTTTAAAATTTCATTTTCAAAAAGCACTTAAGTAAGACCATGGTGGAGAAAGAGGCAGGGAATGATTAGAAGGGCATAGTTGCTTTGGCCTTTAGCCTAATCGAGAATCTTTACTTCATCCAAGTCATCACATGTTTAATCTGAGGTGCACAGTCCATTGTTTTGGAGTCACCTCTGACTTTTAACTCCCTTTTTAGCATTCTAAAGTCATGCTACATTTTAGAGCCATATTTAAAGGTGGAAGGTACATTAGAGATCATCTCCTCCAATCTTCTAATTTCGCAAAATTGAAACTTGAGGCATGAATCCCACCAGTCTTGAAACAGATAATAAGTTGGTCAATAACACCATCTCATAAGGGAATTTTAAAATAGGATCGATTTGAGCGACAATAAAAACGTAGATGAAATATAGAGAATTTTGCCTTTTCAATTCTTTTGTGTTCCCTCTCACTTTTTATAATGGTTTTTTAATTTGTTTTAGATAGGGATGCAAGTCTGAAATAAAATGAAACACTGGTGTGATGTGCATTTTATCGTCTTTACGTAGTCTTTTTTCCATTTTTATTTCATTTTCCTGCCATCACCTACTTCTTACTTCCCACATTATCTTTCTTTTTTTCCTCCTGTGGCATCTGCTGTTTTTGTTTTGTTTCCTCTCCTCCCCCTTAGGACGTCTTCTCTGTCTGCTTTTTCCAGACTATTTACTGTCCAGGTGCACAACAGTGAAGGAATCCACCTGGGATAAAGGCTCCAGCTGTGAGCACACACTGTGGCCCTAGTCAATGCAGCACTAATTCCCTCTGACTGACAGAAACCACTGAATCCATCCAAGCCATGAGACAGTAGCTGGGAGAGCATCCAAAATGTGGCCTCCGTTTTCTTTACTAGCATTTTCAAGCCCCAACTCCAAAATGGAGCATTCATTTTATATTCCATTTGCTAAATCTTTTGTTTTCGGTGGCCGTGCTGAAGATGTAGCATCCCCTCTAGGACACTCTCCCCAGTGGCACTCACACTTATGGGCTGGGTCCCCAGAGAATAGCTGCTACCTCTCAAAGGTTCTAGCCATCCTCTTGGTGCACTACGGCTCACACACCCCTAATAATATTCTTCCATCATCAGTCAGCCCATAGATACAATTATCTCTTACAAGGGCATTTAGTAAGATGACATAGTAAACACTGTAGTTGTGAAACATTACTGTGCAGAAACCTGAGGCATCCTCTCCCACAAATACACACACGGAGTCTATAGGAAGGGTGAGCACAAATACTAGTGAACTATACAAATAGGTTAAATATTTGACCAAGCCAGCTCACATCTCCTGATATTTCAGGGCACAGAATTCCGCTCTGTCTTCACAGAGTTCTCAGGCAGGACCATGCTTGGTCTCACATCTGTGCTGAACATGGTCACTAGTCAGTATATTTCCCAATCAGTCTGCTGCTGGGTTGGACTTAAACCACACTATATAGCAGTATCTCTGCTAGACTCCCCTGGGCTCCATGGGCAATGTTGTTCCTGTCCCCCGCAAACCCAGCTACGATTCTCAGCTAGGGTAATTCTGTGCCCTTTTAGAAAAATAAAACAGAGACCTGTAGCTGAGGACTGGTAGAGGCCTTTCTGTTTCTGCTCCCTCAGGGCCTGGACTGTGATGCTTACCATCTCCCATTTCTAGAGGCGAGAAGATAGGAAATTAGCTTCTCCTTTCAAGAATTCTACCTATACATGGCTGCATCCCCTGGTTGAGCAACCACACCCTGATTTATGGTGATTATCCAGTACATTTCTCAAATCTTCAAACTGGGCCAAAACTAGACAATGGCCATTTGTCCATTGATCCACCAAATACCTCTAAGGTTCAGGGTTCCCCAGTGTTTCTGTTTGCTTAATTCTTAGGTTCTCCAGCTGACCTATGCAAATGAGTAACTGGAGAAAAAAGGTAGTGAAATCCATTCTTTCTGCTCTTCTTTTTATAGGCAAATCCCCTCCTTAGAGCCCTGTGACCTCTATTAGGAGTAGGATGATCCACTAGCATCTGAAAGGGGGTTTGCCCTCTTCAAAGAACAAACAATACGTTCAGGGATGCACAATTACTCTTATTTCATTGTCTCTGTAACTTACCTGCTTATGACCAGCAGATTTGCTAAAGTCTGAAAGGGACATACCCTTCCATTAAAAGAAGCATTGGATTGGGTCTCTCTCAGTGGTAGGGCCAAGCATTTTTCCCTTTCCTCTCAACTGTACTTCTTCCTTCCTTTTGATTGAACTTCAAAGACATGGTCCCTGTAGAATAGTATATACTAAATCGAGAAAAAATATTAGGACTCATAAAATAAAAGAAGAGATAACTAGACTTAGGTTTGTTAAAATATTATGATTAAATAAAAGCAATTGGGCATACAAATTGTAAAAATGCGACATTTTGAAAACAAATATTCATGTTTAGGATGTCTTCTATTTTAGATTTTAATTCTGCTATTAAATTCATGAATTGTTGATAGTAGCATAATGACAATGGTTCTCCAATTGCTTTGTTGCGATCAGTCTTATTGCTTTATACCTGTAACAATGTTTGCTGGGCTAGTAAGCAAGCAGTCAAAGCCATCAGTCCTATCATCCCCCACACTAACCCTTTTGTGTGCTGGGTTACCCTGGAACTCAGTTCTCTTATGGTGTGACTTTTTAACTATTTCTTTAGGCCCTCTGCCTTCTGGGATGTGGCTTCCTTTTAAACTGGTCGTACAGCAAAGATAAAATATCCTTACCTCATCCACCCAGCCACGACTCCCACAGTGTTATTGCCCCACCTTGATGCCCAGAGAAACCTCAATGAATGTATTCTCTCTCCTATGGAAAGCTGTTCAAATAAATGAATAATGCCCTCTCTGCTTTGAATACAAGCCCCCAGCCAGAACTCTTGTTCTGGTAGTCACAGCAGTTTAGATACTTACCTATCCAGCACTTTCCCAATAGTATCCTGTCATACAGAAGAGAGATGCACATTAATACTCTGGCATTGGCTGGAGTTTAAAAGGTTTCTTCAGCAGCAATTTTATCACATTTGCAAGCTTAAGAGAGCAAAGTAAACTTTTAAACATAAATACCTCCCAAGTCCTGAGGGAGGCATCTTGTTCAGAGCAGGCAAAGGAGGGAAGGGGGAAGAGGCAAGGAAGACCACTGGTTGGTCTTTCCTCCAACTTATCAGTTCAATTTCTTCCCTGGACTCTATGCATCCTTCACATCGCCTTTGCTTGTGACTTCCTGCAGCTCTTGGAGACTTTCCATGCACTCTAAGTGACAGTGTCTCCTTAGTTTCCCACCTGCCAAGGTCTTGCTGCATTCCCTGTTTCAGCTTCCCCAAAGTCCTTTCAGCCTCAAGTTCAAGGCAGTGCTCTTGGAGGTGGGGAAGGTCAAGTAGGGAGATTCTGAGAAAGTTCTGTCTGAACCTACAAGCTTCCATCTTTAGTATATGGAGTCTTGGCCAAGACAACACTACATGGCCATACTACATCTGCCTTATTTGTGGAGAAGTTCATGTAACCACAAGCAAAGATATTATAGAATTTTTCTGTCCACACACTTTCCATAAGCACTTAAGCAGGCCTTGAAACATGGAAAAGGGAAATGTGCATCTTTCAGAAAATGAATACATAATATGTCTCATATTTCATGACTATAGTTGAACCATTTACCTTCTCTAAACCATAGTTTTCTTATCTGCAAAATGGGGGCAATTAAGCTTTTATAATCTACCTCACGTGGTATTGGCAGGAAAGCATTTTGTAATCTGTAGAGTGCTATATAAATGTGAGCTGAGATATTATTATACCAAGAGGTTGACAGGAAGTGACCATCAAAGTACCTTTTCAGGTTAATTCCTGGTTTATAGAGCTGCAGCAATATAAAGCCAGTGAATGTCTTCCCTCTGTATATGTTATTTTAATGTAAGTTTTGTTCTTTGTAGGTGTGTAATTTTTTAAAGATTATGCTAAAACTCTAAATTAAGAAATACGTTACTTTAAAAGTTTGTGGCAAAAAAAAAATTAAACCCTGTAAAGTAGATTTCCTAGGGTAAGAAATAAAGCCCCAAATGTAATTTTAAAAAAAAAAAAAAGGTTAGCTGTCCTGCATTTTTAGACATTAAAAAATGTATAGTCTTTTTCTACCATCTAATATGGTACCATGAAAATTCCCCCTGAAAGCTGTGACATTTTTTTTCCTGAAAAACTTTTCCACATATACTTTGATACACATTAAAACTCCTCAGAAATGCCCATTGAAAAAGAATAAATCATTATGGGATCATACTGGCAGGTATGATGCAATAGATTGATGGATTAGGAGTCAGGAAATCTGACTGTGAGTAATAGCTTTACTATATGCTAGCTACGTGATGTTGGGCAAACCACACAACTCTTCTGAGATTCAGTTTCCTCATCTGTAGAATAAGGGATAATAAAAATAATAACAACAATAATAATGATACCTCCCTAGGCTATACTGTACAGTTAGATGATGATCATGGTGATGGTAAAGATGATTGATCCCCATTTTATAACCTACCCAGCAGGTTTGTTATGAGGAAATCAAACATAAGCCATAAAGTACTTTATAAATGTGAACTGCTATTATTCTTTTATAATGTGTGCTGCTACAAACATGAACCAAAACTAAAATTATGAAGCCATGTACATGATAAGTAAAAGAGTATCCCTTTGACACTGAAATTTAAAAAATTTTTGTAGAAAAGTTGCCTAGTTTGCTCATAAGTATACATACTAGCTTGACCCATCATTTAGATGTGTCTAAGGCAAGAGTCTTGTGGCCATAAGCTTCTTTTAGCAGGACTGGAGACTAGCAAAGGTGGAATAGAATACAGTTATTTTTTTTCTAACCAATTCAGATGAACAACTTACCTGCAGTTTATAGTCTTAGAGAGTTGTCTGGGGGTCCCAAGAGGTTAAATGACACAGTCACACAGAGAATGTATGTGTCGAAGGCAGGTCTTGAACTCAGATTTTCTTGGTTTTCTGTAACATAAATTTTAAAGACAGACGAGGCCTTAGAGTTCATCTAGTTGAATCTCTTCAATTTTTAAATGAGGAAACTAAAGCCCTAAGAGATTAGATGATTTGCCTTAAATCCCACTGACAATTTATTGCACTCGAGTCTGGGTCCCCTAAATCCTAGTCCATCCTCTTTCCTCTGCTATATGATGCTTGAATGTTAGCCCAGCTGTCAGAAGAAATGGGCACTCTAATCCTGAGTTCTTTCGCATGTGGTGACTTACTATGTCTCCCTGATCAAATTATAACCTCTAAGTGCTTTGGCTTCTTGTTCTATCTAATGTGGTTAAACATCCCAGCGGCAAAGTATAGTGAAGAGGGAACTGGACTTAGAATCAGGGAATCTGTGTTTGATTCCTGGCTCTGCTACTAAATAACTATGTCACCTTGAACAGGTCACCCTCCCCACACCTCGGCCACCTTGTCTGTACAGTGAGGGGAGTGGACCAGTTAATTTCAAAGTTCCTTTCCATTTCCAAATCCTGTGATCCTGTGGCTACTTCTTTGTGATTTTGTGAACATAAAATGATATATCTGTGGAAACACTCAAGTCTTTGCAGGAAAACTAGCACATAAATGTGAGGTAGTCTTATTCTCCTCTTTTTTTGAAAAAAAACAGTCTAACAAAGCAACAAAAAAAAAACCCTTTCAGTCACATTTTATGTATTTTCTTAACAACTGAACCAAATATGCTCTGACAGTTTTCAGCAAAGACCTCCTACTCACAAATGCCCTTGGGAGAAAGGGAAACCTTTACACTGTGCTTAGTTTTATTGTTTGTGTGTTCGTTTGTTAACTTGCTTCAGTTGTACAGTTTTCTTTTTGAAGCAAATATACGTCATCTCAAACCCTTTCCATCCAAACACACCAGATCACAGATTTGTCCTCTTTTGATCATACAGAAGATGGAAAAATAATGGGGAATATGCCCTTAGTTAGCTCATCACAGGACAAAGATCAATAACTACTGTAGTCTAGGATATTGCTAAGCAACATCATAGAGGGGACAAAGCTGCAAATGAGGTGATGGGTTCATAAGGAGCCAGAGTATCTGGGAACACACTTGGGCATCTCATTACAAACCATCTGGCTGATCAACAGTAATGACCATACATTATTGTTCAGTGTTCTCATATGGCAATCCTTGCATAATTAAGTCTGCATATCATTCAGTGATCCCAACCTACCATTCAGGAACACAGAATATATTTCCGGTAACCTCATATTTCACAGTAAGCGATCCAGCTGTACCTTATGGAACATCGGTACATACTGGGGAAGCTTCCATTCCTATTTTGAAAGATTATTTCTTAACTTATGTGAGGGCAGATCTGAGTGGGATAGGCATAAATTAGGGGAAATACAAAATTATATGTGCTTAAATAGTTATATCAAGACGACTGCAGCTGGCCAATTGCCAATTGACTCTCTGACAGGTATTTCGAAAAATCTACAAGTCTTGCACCTGTGACAATTCAAAAATAAGTTAGGTACAGTTGCAGTATTGGCCGGGTGTCAATACCAACTAGATGGGTTAAAGTACTTTGGCTGACAAGCTAAGAAAGGGATACTAGGAGAGGTGTCCCTGAATCTTCAGAGAAACCGGAGACACAGCCTAAGTCTCAGAGGAGATCCAGAGGCCTTAATCCTCAGAAAGAAGCTCATCTAACAGGGTTCCTTATCTGTCCCACCCAGCCCAGCTGTGTCCCCTTCCAGAAAAGTCTAAAATATTTTAACTGATAGTATTACTCTAGTAAATCTGTCTCACCTATCCTCTGGTTTAGCAACAGATAGAGTTGTGCAACCTCCTTTAATCAATCAATAAGCATTTATTAACTGTGTACTATGTGTCAAGCACTGTGCTGAGCACTGGGGATGCAAAAAGAAGCAAAAGACGGTCCCTGCCCTCAAGAAGCCTACAGTCTAGCGGCAAGACAACAGCTTGTAGGCCAAAATTTCATGCACCAGAATGGTAGCTGAGAAATGGAGGATGGATATGTTGAGTCCATAAGAATGTAACGGGGAAAAAACACACCCAGGGATATCCTCTCCCACAGATGACTACAGTACTAACTGGAGGCATGCCAGTGCCCAGTATGTAAAGAAGACAAATATAGAAGGTACACCTGTGGCCAGGATAATTCAAACTGTCAAATCAGCAAAAACCTCTCTGATTCTGCTCCTTCAAAGTCTTGGCTTTAAGACCTTCCATCTTCCAAAAGTAAAGTTGAAGGTCATCCCAGAAAGCTAGTGCCCTCAGTTTTAGCTTTTTCTTTTGGTTCTCTTTAGTGAAAGACTTAACTCTAACATATGGTATTTGTGGAATACACTCCCCAAATGTTCAGCTGCCCCATACACTTCCCAAATTCATGTTTAAACCAGAAAGTGATTGTTTCCCTAGTGGTTATCAAATAATACTAGGATTCAGGATTCCCCAGTTTTTTTAATTCTAAGTCTCTCCCATTCACCCATGTAAATGAGTGGAGTGTAGAATAGCTACAGAGGCAATCTATAGTAAGGACGAGGTCATTACCACTGCGAGCTACTCAAGGCATTCCTGCTCTTTTTCATGTGTAGATCAGGACTTTTTGCCCCCACATCCTTACAACTTGAAAACCTGGCCTTAAAAAAGAGGAATACCCTTATAATCTCAAATTTTGATATTCTACTTTCTCAGCATTATTTCCTATCTTTCCACCTCTACCTCTTCCTCACTTCTAAACCTGTTCTTCCTCTTCACTAGTTTCCAGTCCCTCTCCCCTTCCTCATTCTCCCAATGCATCACCTCTACTCTGGCCTTATTTTCTTCTCTTCACAGTTTTGATCCTATTGATGACTCCCCCCTCCACCTTCAAGTCCTTTGCTCTCATGTTCTTTCATCATTCACCTTCTGCCAGTCCTCAAATTTGGGCCACTCCAACTATCTGCCTTCTCTTCTCCTGCTCATAGACAGATGAGTGCTAGTAGAGGAAGTTATAGAGCCACACCAGCTGGATATAATCCAAATTCATGTCATCTAAACTTCACTGGTCCTTTCCTGCTGCACAGCATTCCATATTGTCTTCCTTAACTCTCTATCTCACTCCCCTCTGAAGCTATTCCAAACCTTTTATTCTCTTCTCAAGTCCACCCCTTTATCTTTCAACAAATAATTTTGCCTCCTACTTTACTAAGGAAATCATGAGTTCTCTCATCTCCACTAGCCCATACTCAAAATGCCTCCAGTAAAATCAATAAGCATTTTATTTAATGCTTGCTGTATGAAAGGCACTGTACTAACTTTGGGAAAACAAAAGAAAGTCAAAATTGCCCCTGCCCTCAAGAAACTCACATCCTAATGGGGGACACAATGTGCAAAACTATGTATGTATAAAATAAATACAGGGTAAGTTGGAGGTAAGCATCCTAGAGAAGGCACTGATACCGAGGGGGACCAGGAAAGATGTTTTACAGAAGACCGGATTTTAGCAAAGACTTGAAGGAATCGAGGGAAGCCAGGGGACAGAGACAAGAAGGATGAACATTCCAAGTGTGGAATCAGGAGATGGAGTGTCTTATTCGAGGAACAGCAAGGAGCCCAATGTTAATGGATTGTATAGGACATAGAAGAGAGTGATTTACTGTGTACTGATATCAAATGAGGCATAAAACAGGGAGAGACATGCTCGCTGAAGGTATTCACAGATGTCACAGAGAATATCTTGGGCAAAGCCCAAATAGAAGAGGGGTTCCCTATCACTGGAAAGATGTTCCCAAATCTTTTCTTTTTGGTTGTCTTTGAGCTTAATGCCTGGAGGCCCATAAAAAGACATTTCAATAAGATCCTTGGTTACTCAAAAACGTTCAGCCTATCTATCCACACTAGAAAAACAAAGTGGATGGAGAACAGTTTTTGCTCATCACAGGCTTGCAACCCATTAAGTTAGTCCATCAGGATAGATGATGTAACTATTGCTAGCAAACAATAGGTCTTATTTCCTGTGTTTATCTGATTTCTTCAAAGTGTATCATTGCTAACAATTTGCTGCAGCCTATTTATATGCCATGCTTCTTTCTGTTGCCCTTTGAGTCACCTCCAATTTTGATTCTTCTGAGATCATGTCGTTTCATGATTCACAGTTGATAGGCCATCACCAGGAGACTACAGGTATTAAAAAGTTAGCCTTCTGAAGAAGCATTCGACTTGTATACACTAAAATCACTGCAAGTTTTCCCAGAAGTTCCCAGAAGCTCAAGAACGGCTGATTATAAGTGAACAGAAAAGGAAGAAGACCAATCACATAAAGTTAACAGATGGGCAACCTGAGTATGACAATAAAATCCATAAAATATTAATAGAAAGAGCATTGGGTAGCTCTTATATGAAAGATTTAGGGAAAGATATCGATAAGAAGGACAAAGGGTGAAAAGGTATAGATAGATTGACCATCTTGTTTTATAAGGTAGCTAGGTGGCACTGGACCTGGAGTCAAGAAGATGAGTTCAAACTCAGCCTCAGGTACTTACTAGCTATGTGACCTTCAGCAAGTCATTTAACCTCTGTTTACCTCGGCTTCCTTAACTGTAAAGTGGGGATGATAATAGCACCCACCTCTAAGGTTCTAATGAGGATAAAATGAGATCATATTTGTAAAATGCTCAGCAAACCTTAGAATGCTATATAAATGCTAGTTATTATTGCTATAAGGAACATGTACATCAATAAGGTCAAGAATCCCTTAAAATACTAACATTTTCTAGCCCAAATCCAATACAAATAGGGACCCCACCAGCAAGTGATAGATAACTCAGGGAATGAATTCAAGAATTTAACATCTTTGGAGGAGACCATCCTTAAAAATTATTGCTGTTGTTCAGTCTTTTCAGTTGTATCCAACTCCTC